CCCCAAAACCCCAAAACCCCAAAACCCCAAAACCCCTGTTCCTAAAAAACAATACTCGAGACATATGATAATAAATTATTAGTAATAAATTCCTTAAAAAAGAATGTAACAAATGGATGGAATTCAAAGTTCTAGATTATCAATCAATAATAATATATAATTGAACAAATCACATTCCCTTTAAAGCCTTAATACATAGAATTGATATATACCTCACTCTGCATCAATGGCTAATAATCCTGCTTTCAACGATCAGATAGCAAATATTTCTACTGTCTAAAGCTAATCGATTGCTTCACCAAGCTTGCCAAGACTTAATCAATCTACATCCCTCTCTCCGTTTATCACAACGGCTTACTGTAATTTTAATTTAGCTTATATAATTCATAGGTAGTAAGGGTGAACCAAATTATTTCTAATAAGTAACTAGACAAGCCAATTGAAACATCTAGGAACAAAAGCAACAGATATCGTGAACCTTAAATAATTATTGACTAAAAATTCCCAGCATTACCTTACATTTAAAATAACAATGATAACTAGCTTAACGTACCTCTACCACTTACATACTAGTCAGTATCTGAAGAAAGTACAAATAGAAACTCAGCTTTAATGCTAATGCCTCAACAGAGTAGCTCCTAGAATAATGAATTAGTTCTGTATTCTACTCAATCTAGATTTCCACAGACAAATGACGCTATAATGTAATTATCTTTAGCATAATTCAACCACCTGAATGACTTGAGAAATGTAACGTAAATAAATTTTGCTCCTCCGAAGCCAAAAGTTACATTTCAGGAAATGGTCAAAGATATTAGAAAGAAAAAGGCTGAAAAATAAAAACTTCGAGAAGAAAAATAGAAAGCTAGAGAAAATCAGATGAAAGAGATGGGAATCAGAAATATAAATCTAATCAAGAGTTAAAATTATCATCTGCCATTGTTGACTTAGAGAAACTAAAATCTATCTCCGTTGCTCTTATAAATGCAATAGGAAGATTAAAAGAAAAATGAGAGATATAAAAAACTTGTTAAGAATAAGGGAGAATTATCAGATAGCGAATAAGATCGATCAAGGGAAGAGGATACAAGTTAGAACTCATCTTATGATGGTGATAGTTAATCAAATAGCGATTCTCAAGATGATGAATATGATCAAGATTTCATATGAGAAGGAAGTGAGAATAATGGTCAAGTGGTATAAGTAATGACATTTATTCCGAGGAAAAATAATTCTAATAGCACTAATAAAAGACCCTATTCTTCAATACAAGAGCAGGATGAAGAGGAGTTGTAAGATGATATCACCATCGAGGAAAATAAAAATGGCAATAAAGTTGATGCAAGTGGTAAATTAATTTTAATTAATGACTATGGATAAGGCTAAAATAATATAGAATCTAGTCCAAGATTATAATCAAATGCAAAATAATATCTTCCATACACATAAGATGAGTTTAATGCAAATATCGGTAAAGGCAATTACAAGAAATTTGGGGGCTTAGGTCCAAACTTTGACGATGAGTATCAGAAATAGAAATAAAAGTTTGATGCAAGAAATGATTTTGATGATTGTGTCAGAGCAATGAACAAAATAAAATTAAATCAAATAACTAAGAATGAAAATCAGGGAGAAGCAATTCATTCTCAGAGAAATAAGAATAATAAAGGATTTCTTAGTGGTGGTGGAAGTAGTGCTGGCAGCAGCAATAAACCTTCGACTCCTATAAAAAATAAAAAGCAACCAAAGACTTTTGAGGTCCTTAATCAATAGCAAATGAAAGAAGCATTAATGAATTCTGCAAGAGAAAAGGCTAAGCAATATGCAAAACAAGTAAGAAGACCTAATCGTAGTATAGAATTAGCTGAAAGGGTTTAGGAAAGGAAAAGAGAAGTTGAGATTGAAACGAACCATATTGATAGATTTATGTTTGACCCTCACGATATCAGGAAGACTGAAGAAAGTTATAAGAGACTTTTTAACTTTTAGCATGTGTCAATTCCATATATTGATAATAAGATCAAATTATGATTAGAGTATTTAAATTAATCTCAAAAGATTTTATTTTCTTGTCCCTCTTAATCATTTTATTTTTCTAAGTTGGGGTTTTGGGGTTTTGGGG